CAGTTGTTAAGTGAATCATTTCAGTTGTTAAATTACTAGCATGGTTGTTAAGTGAATCTGGCTTCCCTATTGTCTTTGCTTGTCAGAAGGACACAAAAAGGGGATAAACTCTGCAACCATCATAAATATGAACCAATTGCCAAGCGTCTGAATTTTGATCTCATGACCATGGAATACTAAAAAAGTCATAACTGCAAAAAATGGTCATAGGTCACTTTTCTCAGTGACGTTCTAACTTTGAACAGTCACTAAATGAGCTATTGTAAGTCAGGGACTTCCTGTGGTATACTATTACTATATATATTATACCAGTGATATACCTAATACATTCCTCTCCCTTATTCCTTATTGGTATAATCGAAATACTGCAATATGTCTAACATATGCTGGTACTAAAACATGCATATCCAACAGGAGTAAATGACAGAGATCCTCAGGGCATACAGAAAGTTAAATTAATGAGTTGGGGGAGCAAAAGGTATTATCAAAGGTGACAAAGAAGAAATGAAAATGTAAAAATTCCATAATAAATCTCTGAATTCAGAATGTAGACATTTATTAGAGCCAGAAAAGCCTTAATACGTAGTATATATGGATATTCAATACCTAAACAGACAGAGTTATTAAACACACAGAGGATGCTGATTGGCACACCAATAACTTTTTTTTATTTGTGTCTGTCATATTGTTGTGACTGACCATCCATTGTCAGGAACAAACCAAAGAAGAAGTATATATTTAACGATTCATTATATGATTTTGTTTTGTTTTTTGCTCAAATTTCTTCACCCATCCAGTTCAATTTTCTATGGCTGAGTAATTCTCCAATTACTAACCATCACCTCCACACTGAGAAAGACTCACTACTAAATGTTTCTGATGGTTTGTCTCTTTGCTGTGTTCGATCAACATTTACTCTACAATAACCTGTCCACTGGCTAGGTTTTCTATTCCTAGGTTTAATATGTTTCTGAAAATTTAACTGACAATCAGTGGCAGCCATTTTTTCTCAAGGATGTAACTATGAAACAATACTAACAAGAGAATGAATATGTGATAAACAAGTAGAGATTACTAGAAAGAGATGAGAGAGTGTTTGTTTGGCAATGTTTATAGCATGCCTATCTCAAAGCACTTTAGGCAGGTTACAAGAAGATAAATGGCAGCTGCAATAATAAAATTATTATTGTATTATTTAAAAAAAACCATCAGTAATCATGCATAAACAATAAATAATCAATTCTTCCACAAGTTAATACCAACAATATCTAGCTGCACTTGAAAGCTTGGGGAACCAAAACTGTCTTTAAATTTATTTAACACTAAGTCAAAGTCCAGATATACTTGTAGTATTTTTAATTTTGTTTTAGATCATGAGCTTATTGATATAGCAAGGTCCATTTTTAAAACTCTGGTCTGTTCTATTGGACAAAAATGATGCATGCCTTTTTCCTAACGTTTAAAACTGTTCCTTCATCTTTAGGGCTTTTACAGACCATGATTTGTGTTTTGTTGGTTATGGTTATGATTATGATACACTTTATGGAGCACTGAAAAAATAATAAATTGGATTCTTTTTTAAAAAATAATAATAATTAAACTTCTCAACAGCTGGTGTGAGGTTTAAGATTTTGCTTTACTGCCAAGAATAACAGTTATGTTTTACAGTTTGTAGATTTATTCCTTACTCCTTTGTTTCAGATTTATAATAATTTCAAATTTATAATATAAACAACAAAGTTGTTATTAACTCGCTTGTTAAAAACTATGCCAATGGTTTATTTTGCACAAATGTATAGTAGAGAATATGTCTTTTCTTTCCCATTTCACAGGTGGCTTTAATTTGTTTTACAAGGTTTTATTATTTATAAAAGTAGCATTTATTGCAATAGCAAATGCATTTAACCTTTTATATACCACATAGATGAGAGACACTTTCCTGCAAACTATTGTGAAACATCTTCTGAAAAGCCCGTGTCAGGCAACAAAACTGCCCGAGATCTGCCTTTAGGGAAGGGCAAAAATTAATTTTGTCCACATATTTAAGTGAAGAGATTTAATTTGCAATTCCCAAATTAATATGTGGATCAAAAGAGAACTCTCCTTTGGATGTTCCACTTCTCCAAATATTGCAACGCACTGCTGCACACAATAATTATATGTCCACATGTCTACATTCCGATACAAAATGTGCATAGAAGCGAAAATTTCATACAAAATTCGGCAAGAGCTTGTATGTTACAAACTTAAGGTGTGTATATAAAAGTTATTAGGTGACTTTGCCCCTCACAGGATTATGAGGAGGAAAATGGTAAGAGGAAATTTACCATGTATGCTGCCTAGCGGTCCTGAGGAAAAACAAGATAATAAATCTAAATCTGTAGCAGGAACAGGAGCTGAAGTTATATTTTCTTTCTTGATGGTATTTCAAGTGTATGAGCTACAACAGATTATGAAAAGCTCTTTGCAGATTACATGATATTAGATCTCAGATCTTTAATAGTGCTTGGTTTAAAAACAATTTAACAATGCTTCTATTCCTAGGAAGGTATTATTCATAAGGCAATTGCTATTTATAAAATGCTTCCTCCATGATGCTTTGAGATTCCATTTGTTTGCTAATCTAAAAAAAAACAAAAACAGATGCAGTTACTGTAAGGGGGAGGTGAAAAGGCACCAAGGCATATTCATATTTGTGTTCTGAAGACCTGTAAAAATAGTGTTTTAGCATGATGTTTCAATAATTTAATGAGATGAGACTGGCTTGACTTTAAGAACCAGGTGACAGAGTGATTGGTGTTGAGATGGTTTAGTTTAGATGGTTTACTCATAGAAAGATAGTGAATGATGTTGAGCAAACCACAAGATAAATACATGAAGGAGGAATAAATGTTTGTGAGAAGGGGGAAGAGCAGAAATGAAGTGAGAAGTTTTAGGATAAGTAAATCTCTAGAAGTGGCAGGCACTAGGATAGAAAGATATGGAGAATAGTGTTGGTGTATTTCCTTTTTTAACTTAGGCATTACTTTATTGGAGTGAAGATTACTGCTCTCTTTTTTGTATAATGCTTTTAAAAAGAACAACATGATTTGTATGTACTATATGAATGCATGATTGAAGTTTTTTGAAATGTCTCTCAGGTTGTTTGGAAGTTCAGCATTAGGAAAAGTGTTAAAAGAAAAAATTCAGCATATATCATGACTGGCCTATCATAAGATATAGACCGCAATTGAATTCATATGATGAAAAGCATGTGTTTTGGTATGAGTCCCATAGTAACGTTCATGACTTCTTAAAGCAGGTATTACTAAGCCTCTGTTGCAGCATGTACAAAGACATTGCCTTCAGCTGAGCAACAAAAGCTCCCTGGAACAGCTGGTCTTTTGTTTCTGTTTTTATATTTTTGGCTACCTTCATCCCAGGAAGTATTGGCTCTTTATGTTCAAGATAAACAGGACAAATACTCCTCCTATAGAAGGACTTGGGGTGACGGCTTATTTACAACCTTGTATATTGCAGATGATGATTAAGAAACTGCTCAAGAAGGACACCACTATTGGTGTAGTTAAATAATTTTACAATTTGGAACAAGGATCTTTGCAGGGAAGGGAAGCCTA